GGAGCGGGGCGCAGCGGCGGCGATTCGGAGCGGGGAGGATGGAGGCCGATGGCATTTGGTTCTTGCAGGCGGTGTCGCCTCGTGGCCCGTGCGCTGCCCCTCGCGGTCCGAACACACGGCGCATTGTTTGGAGCGGGCTGCGTGGTTTCCCGTGGCCTCCGCATTTTGCATTCTCCGGGTTTAGCGGAGCGGGTCTCGTTAGCAGCAGATATCAATGGTGCAATTATGTTTTTCAGTGGCAGCAGTGTAGCCTCGAATTTTACTGGTATAAACAGGAATAGCGTTTGGCTGTGGAGTTTCAGTAATTAGTTTCAGCTTTCTTAATTTTTTGGCTTTTTTTTTTAAGCACTCAGCATAACACTTTTGCTATTTTACGGGGCTTTGATTTATGGGATGCTGCGACTATTCACATTCTTCGCTGCTGCGGACGCCCTTCCAGGATATTTGCGCAGTGGCAGAAATCCCCGATTGAGGTGCCCACGATTGGTGGAAGATGCCGGCGACTAAATAATCGCCGGGGAGTTTTGCTGCAGAGACGGTGCAGCTGTCGCCCTCGTGCTTTTCTAACGGATCTCGACTAGAACGCTTCATTAAAGAACAAGTACTGAATTTTCATGTTTTATGCGCGCGCGCGCGTAGGTGTTTAGTTTGCGGGCTGGGAGGCGAGAGCAGGGCTCCGCAGCCCGGCCCCGCTGCTGGCTCTCCCCCCGCTCCGAGACGCGTCTGCTCTCCGACGAGCTCGCTTTGCTTTCTCTCGGCCTTACTGGAAAGCACGAGGAAAACGGGTCCGAAAATATTGTTTGGACTGCCAAACGGGCGCGTTTGTTACCCGGCCTCGCCGCTGCTGGGCCTTCAGGTTGTCGCCTGGAGCTTTCTTTAAAAACAGTCGTTGCTGTGACTTTTCGGGGCGGCCGCTGTCCAGGAGAGCGGAGCTGCTGCCTGGTTTCTCGAGCCTGTCCGGAAACTCATGCAGCGCTTTGAGCAGAGCGTGCTGCTGTCGGGTAGGCACAACTTCTTACTTTATTTAGGATAAAATATTATAAGTACAGCATTAAAACCAGTAGTTAGGGGGGGAAAAAAAAAAAAAAAAGCTTTTCCTTTCTCTTCGGAAAGCGACTTCTGTGCGTGCGAAGCCCCGGAGGAAGCGCCGCCGCTTGCTGATGGATGCTCGTGTAACGCGAGTCAAGGCCAGATAATTTTTCCTGTGAGCACAGCGCGGACTGCCAAGTTCGGAGCCGTCGCGAAGGATGCAGGATGTAAACAGCACGTATCTTTGTGGGCTACCTAGGCACGAGGCGCATTTCCATCCGTAGTCGCAGGAAGGGAGAGAGCAGCCGGCGCTGCCGGGGCCGAGCACCTCGTCCAGGCGGCACCAGTTGCGTCTGGTTGACGCTGTTGGTTTGAGCCCCAGCGGAGCTTTAAAACCTTGCGGTTAGTACTTCAAAGCGTGAGAGATAACGAAAGCCTAAGCACCGCTTGCGAGGAAGGAGGATTTTGGTTGCGTACCTCGGTTTTCCCTCCTGTAATAGCTTTCGGTGCCACGAAGCCCGTAGGTAGGTTGCAATAGGTGCACGTGGCTCCTATCCCCTTGCTCTAGGAGGAGCTTTTTATTTGCGAGCCGGTGGCTTGGCTGGGGAGGAGCAGGGGCGCGGGCTTCCCCCCCGCCTGCCTGCCTCCCTCCCCGCCGCGGCACGTTTGGCAGAGCTGCTTTCCTTGGAGTCGTTCTGGGCGGTTGCGTGGTGCGAGTAGTTTCCGAGCCTCTCCTAGCGAAGCGGCTTTGATTTTAAGCTCTGGTCTCCTGAAGCCTTGCAGAGCGACCGGCTGGGCGCGCTTCGGGGGGGGAAGCAGCGTAGCGCCGGGAAGGCGCCCCGTAATCCCTCCCGGGTCGCCTTTAATCCCAATATAAACCCCAATGTGTGTGTGTGTGTGTGTGTGCGCGTGTGTGTATATATATATATATGTGTGTGTATATATATATATATATATATATATATATTTCGGTGGAAAAGATCTAGTCATATACATGGTAAACCTGAATACCTGCTCTCTGCCTACTGTGTTTCCTGTGGTCTGTGATCTTACAGTGCAATTTCTGAATTTGTCAGAGGGGAGAGTTACTTTGAGTTTGGTCAGGTTAAATCTAAGTCGCTTAATAAATAGATCCCGTCTACTTAGTTTTACGGGTGAATCATTTTCAGGCTTCTTTAATGACAGTTTGGTGGCATCACTCGTATGACGGCCTTCAGATTTATTATTCCTACCTGTAGAGAATAAAGACTTACTAGTGAGTTGTATTTATTCCAAAATATCCAATAATGGCAGTTTCGAAAATGAAAAATTATTTTTAACTTTAGGGCTCGTGATCTGGCAGCTAGCGCCCTGCGTGTCCCTGCAGACCTTTGCCTAGGGAATACCAGGTCCATATATCACCAAGCGTCACATAATTAAGAAACGCCCCGAAATCGCCCTTTCTGTTGGACTTTGCGGCGTGCTTTAGAAGCGAGCGGCAATTCTTTTGTTAACGTCACTAGAATAGACCGCTGTTTACGGCACATTTATTAAAAGACGTTTTGCGTTAGACCTCTTGCTACCGAGGGGTGTATCAGCTGTTGGTTGCAGAGCGGCTTGGAAATTGTGTTATCTTAGGGGCGTGTACGTATATGTGTGTGTGTGTGTTTGCGTACATGTATATGCATGTGTATGTGCGTGTATGTGAATGTACGTATGGAGAGAGAGAGAGAGAACGTGCAAAGGAGGAATATCAATGCTACGACGTTTGGTAATTTATTTAATGTACCTGATCCTCAGATGAGTAATAAATTAAATTTTAAACAAGTTGAAGCATGTGAGACTGGGTTGAATTCCAAAACGTTAAGACGTTATTAAATGTGTTTTCCAAATGAACAAATCTCAGCCTCTTCTAACTCAGCTGTTTCTGCCGTAGTCTTTGAGGTTTTCCATGCAGTCTTCTGCGAGCGTTTCACGGATTCTGGTTAGTGCTGAAGTAAGGAGTCACGGGTTCACGCGCACTCACGCGATCAGAGCCTCGCCTCTGTGTTTACTGGGAAAAAAGGAATAACCTGTGTGTTTCTCTGTTTTTCCGTTTCAGATGATTGGCGCATTTGTTCTCGGTGTTGGAATTTATGCAGAAGTTGAAAGGCAGAAGTACAAGACCCTGGAAAGTGCCTTTCTAGCTCCAGCTATTATTTTAATCCTTTTGGGTATTATAATGTTCCTTGTATCTTTTGTGGGCGTACTGGCTTCTTTAAGAGACAATTTATGCCTTCTTCAAGCAGTAAGTGATTTTTTTTTTTTTTAAATTCTGCATTTTCACAGATTTCATGGCTTTTGCTTTTTAGCGTCGCTTGAAACTAAACCCACAGCCCTTCCTTCATCTGCGTTGGGTTGGAAAGTACTTCAAAAAACAAATCGGTTTTTTTTTTTTTTTTTTAATCTTGGGGCGAGTATTTAAGCTGCTTTGTTGATTTTTAGTTAAACCTAAAATTGCCTCGTGCCAGCGGTCCCCAAAAGGCGGTCTGTGGCCGCCCGGCGGCCCCGGGGCTCTTGCGTAGCGAGCGCGGGGAGCAGGTTGTCCTCGTGGTGTGTTTGAGCGGAGCAGAGCCGGTCTCGAGCCATTAAAGGGCTCGGTGGGAAAGAAGCGATCATGCGGCGGCGCGAGCTGCCGCCCTGACTCGGCCGGTGGGGGGGCCTTCGGCGGT